AGAGAGAGAGAGAGAGAGAGAGAGAAAGAGAGAGAGAGAGAGAGACAGACACAGACATGGTGTGGGTATGTGAAACGTGGGTATGTGCATGTGTCACTGCCTGTTTGTGGAGGTCAGAGGATGACTTTGTGGAGTCATTTCTCTCCTACTTTTATGTGGATTCTGGGGACCCAGTCAGGTTGCCTGGCTTGTATGGCAACACCTTCACCATTGCCGACTGAGCCATTTCACCATCCTTGTCATAATTTTATTATTGATAAATGTACACATAATTTAGACATTTATGCATAATTAGTATCATGACAGTTAACAGAATTGTCAAATGACAATTTTAAATTTGTTTTTTCAGGCATAGCTTATAATCAAGCGTGTTAAATTGTACTAAAATATATGATTTGAAGTTTTACTTTTTCACATACTCCATAACTTCTGTAACCTCAGTCCCCTGTCTACTTGGCATTTACTCCTCTAACTCCCATGTTGCTGTTAGGAGAGTTTCATTTCTTTGGACTTCTATCCCTAGATCAGTTAGTTGTCTTTTAGCAAACAAATTTAAGAGAGAGTTGTCATTTCAAGAAATAAAATAATAAATTATTTAGCCTTTGGGGATTGACATTCTCATTCACCATAGTTCTCTGGAGCCTGATCAAAGTAGCTATATTAGTAGTTAATTATTTTTGTTGCTGAATAGCAGTCTATGGTATGGATGCACTACGGTCTCTTGAACCATTTGCCCATTGAAGAACATGTAGGTGGTGTCCAGTTTAGCTGTGGCAGACAAAGCAGCTGTGCATATTTCTGTACAAGTTTTTATGTGGCGATAACTTCGGATTTCTCTGGAACTTGCCAGACTGTGTTGCAGAGTGGCTGTACCATTTTGCACCCTACCAGCAGAGCTTGAGTGATCTAGTTGTTCTGCATGTTCACCGTCATTTGGCAGCATTACATTTTTGTTTAGCTGTTCTAGGAGGTGTGTAATGGTATGCTGAGAGCTCTCTGTGATTTCAGTTTGCATTTCCCTAATGAATATTGTTGGACTGTTTATTTTTGTTTGTTTTGGTGCTGAGGATTGAGCTTACAGTAGACTTTGTTAAGAACATGCTTTACCATTGAGTTACAGTCCCAGTGCTAGATATCTTCTCATGTGCTTGCTGATTTGTCGTCTATGTATCCTCTTCTGATTATCATTTAAAAGTTTCTTCATATCTTCTGCCCATTTTAAAATAGGATCTCTCTCTCTCTCTCTCTCTCTCTCTCTCTCTCTCTCTCTCTCGCGCGCGCGTGTGTATTAGCTAAAAGTAGACCTCATATCATCCTTAATTGCTTTTCCAACTTATTTTTTGAGACAAGGTCTCACGGAGCCTAGAGCTCACTGAACCAGCTAGACTGGCTGGCAGACTCTGCCTCTTCAGTGCTGGTATTACAGGCCCATGTGCTGTGCACTTAGCTTTTTTAGTGGGTGCTGGGAATATGAACTCAGGTCCTCATGCTTGCATTGCCAGTGAACACGTCTCCCCAGTCCCTCCAACCCCTCCTTTTTTTCTAATTGTGGAGTTTGAGAGTTCATAATAGTCTAGAATACTAGTCATTGTCATAGATGGTTTGCAATTTTTTTATCCCATTGTGTAGTTTTCTTTTCATTCTTTTGGTTGGTCTTTTGCAAAACCAAAGCATTTGGTTTTGATGAATTCAGTTCTTCCATGTATCTTTATAGGAATTGTGTTTTTACTTAAGTCTAAGAACTTGTTGCACAGCAGTTTAGGTGTATATAAAAAAAACAGAACCAGGGGCTGGAGAGATGGCTTAGGAGTTAAGAGCGGATCTTGGATCCCAGCACCTACATTGCAGCTCACAATAACCTGAAACTCCAATTCCAGGGGATGTAGCACCGTCTTCTGGCTTCTGTGGGGCACCAGGCA